GATCAGAAGGTCTACCAGGCTGAGGTGGACAATCTTCCTGCAGCCTTTGAAGATGGTTCTATCAATGGAGGTGACCGACCTGGAGGCTCAAGTTTGTCCATTCAAACTGCGCACCCTGGGAGCCACGTGGAGATCCGAGCTGCCTACATCGGCACAACTATAATAATTCGGCAGACAGCTGGGCAGCTTTCTTTCTCCATCAAGGTAGCAGAGGACGTGGCCAGGGCCTTCTCTGCTGAGCAGGATCTGCAGCTCTGTGTTGGGGGGTGCCCTCCAAGTCAGCGACTCTCTCGCTCAGAGCGCAACCGTCGAGGAGCTATGACCTTTGACACTGCCAGACAGCTGTGCAAGGAAGGGCTTCCAGTTGAAGATGCCTACTTCCATTCCTGTGTCTTTGATGTTTTAATCTCCGGTGACCCCAACTTTACTGTGGCGGCTCAGGCAGCTCTGGAGGATGCCCGCGCCTTCCTGCCAGACTTAGAGAAGTTGCATCTCTTCCCCTCAGATGCTGGAATCCCTCTCTCCTTAGCCATCCCTCTTGCCCCACTCATTTCTGGGCTCTTTGTTCTGTGGCAGTGCATTCAGTAAGTAAGCTAGCAATCCCACGGGTGGTTTGGAAATGATTAGAGATTGGCATGGGAGTATGTGAAGAACCACTACAGGAAACAGTGAGGACTAGGAGACACATGAAGCAACAACGCGTATCCAGAGTCAGGTGAGGCTGCAGTCCAGGGTAGAAATCATCACAGAATAAGGATTCTGGGCAAGATCTCTGCATTCCACACCTCTGGAGGCACCCTTCACCATTTCCCCAAATTGTTCCAGTCCATCTATTCCCAAAGTCAGCCCTTTACACTTAGGTTATGAGCATCCCAATGATCTTAAGGGTGGAGATTTTTTAAGAGCCAAGAACTGAAAGAGGAAGTCATGATCATTACTCATAAGAAACTCAAAATAGGAGGAATAATTAGGTAAAGAAGTCTATTTGATGAACATATGTGGGTAAGGTATGTTCTATTTTCGTGGTTCAGAAATGAAATGGGTGTTTTCTGGATCTTAAGTGAAGGGAGTTTGCATTTGGAGAAGGGCACAGACAGGACAAACACCATGATCTCCATCCCTAACTAACCTGGTATTAAAGCTCTTAATTCTCCGTTGCCTATGTTGAACCTCTGTACAGATAAACTCAAGTGGAATAAAAGCAAACTGTTCACTTCACTGATAGAGGGCTCCATATTAGATATCGTTTATGCCGCCAGGGAGTTTCTAAGCTATTGGAGAGATAGAACTGACTCACATGCAGGAATGGTGAGTGTGCAATTGTTCACTAAATCCTATGGTACTGTGGATTTGAAAGGAAAGATGGTTGATGAAAACTAAAGTAGTGGTAAGACACAATACAAGGTAATGGAAGGGGGCAGGCCCTGTGGCCTGGTCATTAAGGGAGGCAGATACCACAATGCTGACTACCTGGCTCGAATTCTGGTCCTGGCAGCTCGAAAAACACCCCAGGCACATGTGCTTGTGTGCTCCAAACCCTAAAAGAATGAAGAAATACAGGACAAGGGATTGTGGTATGACCATGCCCTACCGGTAAAGTGCTTCCTCCCCCACCCCCAACTCCATCTCTGGTGAGCACACTCACCCTCTGGAAAATTACAAAATAAAATAAAATAATAAATAAATAAAACAATAGATTTGAAGACTGGGTAGGATTTGAATTCCTAAGGACTTTCCAGGCAACAGAAATCATATGGAGTTTTGCATAGACTCCTATTTCAGTGAGGAAAGCAGCAAAACTCTAATAAAGCAGACAGAGTAATGGGACAGTAGGTTAGGTGGGCAGAGGCCAGGTTATGAAACACCTTGAAAGTAAGGTCAACGTGTTTAAGTTTATTAATAGTTAACATTTATTGGGGCCAGCAGGTGGCGTGGTGGTTAAGTGCGTTGGACTCCCACAGGCCTGACCGTGGTTTAAGTCCTGGACCTGGTGGCTTGCTTTCTCACTTTCCCTCTCTCTTTTTCTCTCACTCTGTCCCTCTGTGGTCAAATATAAATAAACAAATAAAGTTAAATAAAGTAATCCTGAAAAAAATAGTTAACATTTATTGAGAGCTTAAAATCTGCCAGACAAAGGACCAGCAGATGGTTTACCAGTTACATCACTGGAGTTCCACATGGCCTACTGCAGTTTGAGTCCTTGGCCAGGTAGCTTTAAAATCACACCAGGTGAGTGTATGTGGATGCCCAAGATCCCAGGAGGAGACTGGAGGAGAAGGAACTGCAGCATGGTCATCCCCCCAGGGGGTGATTTCTCACTTCCCCTTTAACTGTGTGTGTCTCTTTCTCTGGCGAGCACACACTCTCTAAGGCAAAAAGCTCTCCAAAAAAAAAAAAAATAAAGATAATAAATAAATAAAAGAAAGAAAGAAAGAAAAGAAAAATTGCCAGACAAGGGACATTTAGTGGCATGGTGGTTAAGTTGTTAGACTCCCAAATGGCCGACTACAGTTCAAGTCCCAGACCTGGCAGTTTGCCTTCTCACTTTTTCTTTCTTCCTCTCTCACTGGTCAAATTAAAATAAATAAACAGGGACCAGCAGTTGACGTAATGGCTATGTTGCTGGACTCCCATGTAGTCGACCACGGTTCGAGTCCTGGACCCAGTGGCTTAAACTCATGCCAGGCACATACGTGTGCATGTGTGCCCAAGATCCTGAGAGGAGAATGGAGAAGGGATTGCAGTGTGGCCATTCCCCCGAGGGGTGATTTCTC